TTCTTTTACATCTCCCCTCCCTCCCACACACAGATTTTCACTTTTCCCCACAGCCTTTGGAGAAAAAAACCCCAAAATACAATGTCTCACTTCTTCCACATTCCCCCTATTGAGATTCTGGTTTTACTTCAAATTCTCATACCTGAAGTAGAGAAAAAGCAAGGACCTGAGCTGTCAGTGCAAGAAGAAAAGCTTTGGGACCTGAGGGTCTATGTTTTTGCTTGGTGTTGGTGAGCATGAACGCTGTGAAGAAGCCTGCTGCAGAAGGCAGGCTCCTGCAGGTGATCAGGACTCCTGGAGATGTCAGTCACTTGTGGAAATTGGGATTTATGCCCAATTCTTCCATCCCAAGCAGGAGGGATTGCCAGAAGCAAAGCCAGGCAGGCAGAGTTTCCTTGAAGTTAATAGGAATCAATGCCTAACCCTTCGCCAAAAATAACCAGTTGAAATAGCACTTCATTGCTCTCAACTGTAAGTTGAGCTCTTAGAAATAAAGGACGTGAGTGTATTTGGAGATGAGGATCACTGCTGGTCCTTTTCCAAAGCTTTCCCACAGATTTATGGCTCTGTACTTATTTATGGTTTCCTATTTATTCATTTTTTGGGATCAGTTTTTGTGGTACCTGCATTCATCACCAGTTAAAGGGAATAGTCAAGAAGTGCTAAAGCTAGTCAGGGTTAAAAAGATATTGTGCCTAGCTGCTCATCACATCTATAAATACAAGCAGGATAGGAAACTGACACAGATGGAAAGTCACCATCAGATCTGACAGGGCTGTAGCCTCCTCTCTCAGGTCATTTCCACTGGTGTATGTGAAGAACCAACAGCTACAACATGTTAAGGTTAAAAAAGCTGCAGCTGGAAGAGCTCATGTGGCACCATGTTCATGGCAAGTTGTAAATCAGAAGCTTGTGGAAAGGCTGGAAAGAGAATCCAAACCTCCCAGTCCTCACCCTGGTGATTTCATCTTGGTGTTCCAGGTGATAAATACAAGCATTAAGCACCCTGTCAGCTTCCGTGTTGGATGGCAGCGCTGACCAAGAGCTGAAACATCTTGATTTAATTAAACTGTAATAACAACTACTTCAAACAACTGTCTTACACTGTGCTCTGATTCCACAGGTACATGGCAAATTTGAGATGCAGCTCAAGGCATTGCATTCGGGTGATTTACACTGATTTCAGCCCCTCAGTCTCTATAGAAATAGGCTTGCACACGTTAGCAGGTTAGGCACGACAAGGACATGCATCAAAAGGAGCATGACCAGCAGGAGAGGGAGGTGATCCTGCCCCTCTACTCTGCTCTCATGAGACCCCACTTGCAGCACTGTGTGCAGTTCTGGTGTCCTCAACATAAGGACATGGAGCTGTTGGAGCAAGTCCAGAGGAGGCCACGAGGATGATCAGGGACTGGGGCACCTCCTGTATGGAGACAGGCTGAGAAAGTTGGGGCTGTTCAGCCTGGAGAAGAGAAGCTGCGTGGAGACCTCAGAGCAGCTTCCAGTGTCTGAAGGGGGCTACAAGGGTGCTGGGGAGGGACTCTTCATTAGGGACTGGAGCAATAGGACAAGGGGGAAACTGGCAGCAGCAGTCAGCTTTGGTTCTATGATTCAGGGGCACAGCAGGGGCAGGACAAATCTGCCAGAGTCCCCTTCTGCACCATTTGTAGGTAAAAAAGAAGCCTTAGAAGAATTAAGTACCTGATCCAGGTGTCCTGGTGAAGCAGGGTCAGAGCCAAACTTGAAATACAGGAGCCTTCATTTAAGCTCAGCAGTTAAAACGGCAGTTTAACAGCAGTTAAGCCTGTAACAGCAGTTTTAACCTTGGTTTTGTGCTCTGCTGCATGTGCACAGCTTTAACCTGCCTTTTTTGATACACAGCTGTTCTTTCCCAAAGCCAAGCAGCACACAGGCTTACTGAAAGGGGAGACACATCACATTTAGGGCTGTTGGGCCTTCACTGAGGAACCTGGATAAACCAGCATTGACTGTAAGGGGGCTCCAGGCAGATCTTCAAGTCTTTCTGTTCAGAAAGATCTGTGGCTTAATTTGTTTCTCCGATCAGAATTATAATGCTTTGGCAGTTTTAATGGGAGGAACAGATGAGCAGGATTAGGTTTATTACAGTCACTGTGGATCCCTTTGCTAGTAAGAAGTGGAAAAAGACATATTTACAGTAAAGGGTAAGTAACGTCATCAATCTCTGTGCCTAGTATTGTAAAATGTGTAGCATGTAGATAACTACTGGCACAGAAGTGAACGGCTTGGAACAAGGCAATCAGGAAACACAGGAACAATAATTGTTATTTATGGCCCTAGAAAATTGGATATCACTTATCTAAATGAGAGCTGTAAGTCACCTCTGCTAGAAGAGAACCTGCTCTGTCTCATTCACAGCATTTACATCAGAGATTAATCACTTCTTAATCAAAATGTGGCAAGAACACTTCTTTGGGGACCTTATCTTTCATTTTTGACACCAGGAACCTTTGTTTAGAGCTATTCTACATAGTTCGTGCAACCACTTTTCAATGCTGGGTGAGCAAGGTGTGGATTTCAAGCACAGATTTGAGAATGATCGCCAAGAAAACCAAACCCACCTCCTTGCTCTGCCAACTCCTGCTTTTACCAGGTATTCAGAGGTGCTATTCTCCGTCTGACTTCTAAAAGTGCAACTCTTACTTCAGAAGCAAGTAAATTGGTACTTATTTCCCCTGTATAAGTGGAGTACCTTGTGGTCTTTCTGTGTGCTGCGGGTCTGTTTTCTTACACTGACTTCCTAAGGCGAGGAGGTGTTATGTGACCATATGGAGCAGGGCTTCCCTACAAATGATTGTGGAAGACACTGCTGCATTTGTATAATTCTATTTGACAGGGAGGCAGAAATAGCAAGAGATCTTACAATGCCTTAAACTAGATGTTTTGAGGGAAGAGGAAGTCATTCTTTGTCTTACATGGGAGCAAGCTGCAGTGCTGCCCGTGTTATTCTCACTGCAAAGAGTAGATAGAGGAGAGAGCACTTGAAAACCTCCCCAGTTACACTGTAGGACAGTACAAGCAGCCTGCAGTTGGCAGCTTACAACAGCTCACAACTGTCATCAACAGCCTAAGTAAATGAACCCACTCTTGGCCCATGTAAACAATGAGAAAAGCAGTTATTTATGTCTGACTTGAGACTCCCTCATCAAATGAGCAAAGGCAAAGGAAAGCCAGGGACAGAATCCTTGGAAAGATGCAGAAAGGCATGTAACTCCTAAGTGAGGAAAAGAGCACTGAACAAAGCAGAGGCATCATCAGCCTCAAAGAGTAGGAGAGATTAGGAAAGGGGACCAGAACAAGGACCCTATGTATGCTTAAAACTTAGTGCTGAATCCCCATGGAGCGCCGAGTTCAGGTTCCTGAGCTTCCTGAGCAATGAATTGATACTGGCACCTACATGCTCCTGCTCAGCATTGTTTAGCAGTACATGTATCTAGTTAAGTTTGTCTGTTAGAGGATGGACTCAGCTACGAACTACTCAGATTTATAACTTTAGCAGCAGCAGGAAAAACTTCAGTCCAAGATTGCAATCAACCACAAAACACAAGTCCTGGAAAAAATGAAGCAGACTCCATTGTTTTCAAGGCTTTTCAACCTGCTTCTTATACTTGCAAAACCAAAACGAAGACAAAATCAGACAGGCTTGAGGGCCCTGGTCTCTGCTCCATCCCACACCACAACAACCCACAACAGAAAGTTTCAGTTGGGCAGAGTTACTGTGAGCAGCAGCTCAGCACAGCTGCCTCTACAAACAGACTAACCCAGGGGAAAGTGCAGCCTGAGTGGTGCAAACCAAGAGCGTGATGGCTTTGAGATCCCACATCAAGGCTTAGAAAAACCTTTCTGGCAACCTGCAGGCAGTAAGAGAGATGTTAAATGGTGTCTTATGAAATAGCTTTTAAATGATCGCTTGTCAGAACTTAACTGTATTTACTCAGTCCAGCGGCTTTCAGTAAGACATCAAACAGGCTTCAAACCCTCTACACAACCCCAGCTCAACAGTGCAGAGAGACCATGAAATTCCCCTCTTTCTCTTGGGCATCCTGCCTGCCCCAGCCTCTGTAGGGAATGCTGCATTTCCAGTGTCCATGGCTTACTGAGGGGCTCATCTGAGAGGGTCGGGAGCAACACAAGAACTTGAAGCCCATCATCTGAGTTTCTCAATTCATTGCACATATGTAGAACATCAGTGCTTATGCCACAATAACATGAATCCATGAATGAAGGTGTGGTGATATGACATTTTAAATGGGAATACAGCGCTGTTACTGACTTTTCAGGATATGCTTTGGATCAGAAACCTTGGGTCACAGATGTTCCATTCCTTCTGTACACCACTTTGAGTGAACGAAGCAGAACATAGCCTCGTGTTAGCACTTCATTGTGCATATTGCACCTTTTCTGTGTTTCCTAAATTAAACTAAACATGAGGAAAACAATGAGGAAAAAACTACTAGACAATGTACATCTGGCAACCACTTGCACGTTTAATGGACTCATTTTCCCTTCAGAACTGGTGACAAACAAGCAAGACCCAACAGCAAGTAAGATCTGGAATCAAAAGCCTTTCACATTCTTCTTCTGGCAGAGAAATGGTGACAGACATGGCTGGGAACACTGTGGTGAAGGGTAACAGACACCTCAACAGTAGGCACCATTAACATTAGAAATAAGCTACACATTTTGGTGGAATTCCAGCAGTATTCTCTAAACTACTGCTGCTTATTTGTGCTATATTCCAGAAGAGATTACAAGCTTTTAAACTCACATAACTGCAATGGCTACTGTGTTAGAGGATTAAAACTGACTCCTAACTACTGCCCCAACATTTCAGAAGACACGGTTTTTCTCACTCCCAGATGGAACAAAATCTTTTGTTTTAATACCCAAAAGAGTGATAGTATAGTACAAAATGGGCGAGTCTACAAACAGAATCAACTTAAAGCTAAGCAAAACCTCTATCAATATCCCGAAGATTCAACCCAAAGTAGCTCCTCTTCTATTTTGCCCTCTCTTTGCGGCTTCTCTTTATCCTTCTTGGGATTTTTGCTGGTTCTTTCAGCAGGGTTCTCTTCAAGTATTTTGTCTTTAAAAGGTCTTGATTTCTTCTTATTCACCAAGCCCAGCTCAACTTTCATTCTCTTCTGTTTTTCATTCAACTTCTCATTTTCTCCTCCAAGATCTGCACCTTCACTACTTTTCTTTCTTTTCCACTTTGGGGCTTCTTTTTCATACTTCAGCTCTTCACTGATGGGTTCGTCTTCCTCCTTGAAACGTTTTATCTGAGATTTCTGTTCTTTTCTGTAGGAGTTGGTAGAAGTTTCAGCAAGTGTAAAGTTGTAGCACTCTGTAGGCTCTGCAGCCAACAGGCTGAAGCTCTTATCACTGATGATGGCCACCTCAGATTGTTCTTCTTTACAGTATTCCTTGTTATAGCAACAATTAGGTGTTCCTAGTGTGTGCTCACATGTTGATGGCCAACCTGGTGATCTCGTGTCCCCAGTATTTGTAGGTGACTGGGTTTTCGAGATAAGGCTGGAATGTCCTTGTTGACACTTAGAGTTTGAAGATGGAACCTCACCAAGGTCACTTTCACCTTCAATGTTTGCATCTTGAATCCATTCCTCTTCCACTTTTACCAAACGTCTCCTTGGCTCTTGACCTTTAGCCTCTTGAACTTTAATGCAATCTGTTAATTCCTCTTGCACGGAGTCATTGCTTTTCTTTGGTTTCTTCATGAGATGGGCCAGCTTTGTTTCTCTGCATAAATTGGACAGAAAGTCTTAGTTATTAATACTGCCTGGTTTCATTAGCATCTGTTGAGTTAAAATAGGTCACATTTCCAGAGGTAGAAAAAGAACATACTCCAAGTGTGGTGTTCTGTGTAACTACATGGACAATGTTACACATGATTGTATCTGTAAAGCCGAAGTTACAGGGCACAAATTCTACTCTTTGTGAAAACTAAAAATCCAGAAAAACTTCCTGAAGACAGGACATGAGTTTCTTCTGACCTAAGATGCTGCAAGAATAAGATGCTTTTAAATGACTGCATACATTTTAAAACTACGAATAGACCCCCAAATTTAATATTCTCTCTTATGAACTAATCTCCAATTAGCTTCAGATAAGAAGCAATTACATTAAATACTGTCAAGTAATGAAGTTACTAATTCCTTTATGAGATCCATTCTATTGAACAGTTGCAACACAGTGATTCCAGGCAAACTGTGCGACTCCACAGAAAAAAACAACCTGGATGTCTAAAACCCCAACAAGATAAATGTGGTCCCTGAAACTACTTATCAGTTTATAATCTACTCTCCCTTTCCTCAGGCTGGAAGACGAAGTGTTAGATGACAAAGATACTCCCTGAAGGGCAGCTCCAAAGACCCATCCCTTAAATTTATCTTGTTCTGCCTTAATTCCCCAGCTTTATACATTGATTTTGTTACACTGCAGACAGGCCTGTAGCAGTTTCCTACACTGCTGTCTTTGAAGACTACACAACTGATGGAGATTTGGCACTTTTCAGGATTATGGTCTTCTCTGGAATAGGAATGTTTAAGTTCAGACCATTTCCTTCTAGACTGAGCACTGAAGATGCTGTACCAAAATAGGTGCTGCTATCCCGAGATAGCAAAACAAGTGGGGAAACTGGACAGGTTTCAGAACTTTTCCTGTGGGTTATCATTGAAAATGCAACTGGGAGAACTCTTAAGACTGAATTTCAGTCACAAGTATGATGCTTAAATGGACAGTGCACCTTAAAACCAGTGAACCAACCAACAACAATAGCAACAAACCCCCCAAATCAAAACCCCCCCCCCCCCCCCAAAATAATCGAAGTCCCTTAACAGCAAACAACAGGACTAATGGAAAAGTTTGAAACTAAAAACTACAGAGGAATAGTAACAAAAGACTTATTGACTTACTTAAGCCGGTGCTTCTTTCCTTGCAGGTGGGACTGGTATGTTTCTATAGAAGTAAGCGTGACATTACATATGGGGCATATGTAATAACCAGCTCCAACTGCTGGAAAGGAAGAACATGCAGGTTTGAGAGACTGCAACTGAAAAGTAAAACTCAAAGCACATCATGATTCCATCCCATGCAAGAGTCCTCATATAATGACATAAAGAGTGTTTATGGACTCTGAGTCTCTGCTGCAGTTTTACACTAGAACAATACTTATGAAGGAAGCTGGTAAGGAGTACAGACGCAGAGTAACCATGGTTTGAACATTACCAAGGAGTATTTCTGATGACTGAAGTGATACAAGATAATGCCAGTGACTGTTGTCAAGTGCTGATGAGAATGAACTGTACTGAAAAATTCAATACTGTTGTAAATACCTGACTAAAGAAAGAATTGACAGTTCAGTTGCACAGCACCAGATGATGCCCTCTAAGAATTAATGGAAGTTGCGCAGCAACAGGGCCCTGGCTTTGGACACAGTTCTTGAGCTGCAGACTGTCCTGATGGGAGGCTGGGGAGCAATGACTGCTTAGGAATTTGATTTCCTTATGTGGGCAGACTGAAATAATTCTGACAACCAGCTCATGAATAAAAGATTAAGAGAAGACATGACACCAGTGTTCAATTATTTAAAGAATGAGACAAAAAGGAAACAAATGATTCAATTCTTGTGCCTGTTTCTGGTTCTGTGCATAGTGAAGAAATACACCGTGGTCAGAGAAAGCTGAGTTCAATGTTAGCAGATGCTTTTAATATTAAGAAGGCCTGGGACATACTCCTTATGGAGATCGTAGAGTTTCCAGCATAAACGGTTTTTAAGAACAAGGTGGATGAACATCTTAAGAATGACACAGATACAACTGATCCTGGCCTTGGATTTAGGGGACTGGGGTATTTTCTATAACCCTTTGAATCTGGCTTCAGAACTCAAGAGACACAACTTTAACAACTCACAGACCAAATAGAAAGGAAAAAATGAACTTGTTCTCTAGCACAGAAGGCTGTAATTTCCTTGCACACGTCAGAGTAGATCCTTGCACAAATCAGAACTGACAACTCAAGCTACACACAGAGATTGCAACACTTGCTCACGTTCTGCTTACCACTTGTGCTGGATTCTGCAGGGACAACTTTGTCTCCTAGCTCCTCCAGGATCTTCTTCCGTGCTTCATTTCTTCTGTGTTTCTTACCACTGTAGTGCTGCTGGGCTGTAAGTGGATTATTAAAGGAAGCACAGCAGAGCCTGCAGAACTTGTCTGGATCATTTAACTTCAGACTTGTGTTGGAGGATGATGGAGACTCTTCAGCTCCTGAAGGCTGCAAGGGCTTCTCAGCTGATGGCTGCTGTAAAGCTGGAGGCGTGGAAGTAGAGGATAAATCAGCTGACAGCACAGCAAAAGGAAGGCTAAAACAATTCCAAGGAACAAAACAGGTGACTGCAGAACAACAATCTGCTGGGTGCTGAACTACTTGTAAGAGACTATAAGGTATCTTAGCCCTTGATATGAATGTACAGACTGATTAGGAACATAATCCTGTGATATTCAGAACCCCCATCATTAGATACCTAAAAATCAGCTCTTTGATGGCTGGTCACTCTAAGGTCCTTATACAGACCAAGAAGAGAGAAGAATCCTGCAGAGCACAGAAACCATGCTTCATCCTTAAATACAGTTCAGCAACTTGTACAGGACTAACACCACTTAAGTAAGTGTTGCTCATGGACTGTCGTTTCAATTACTTATCATATTCATTTATCAGAGGAACCTCTTGTTGGCACTGCAGTGAATTCTCAGAACAACAATCACCTTTCATTAATTAAAAAAATCAGAAATATTTGGTTTTAGTTACAGCCAATGAAAGGCAGGGTATTTGAAAGCAAGGTTCCATGGCTTCAGAGCTTCAGTGCCGCGGAGTATCACTGTTTATTCACCTACATAGTTACCACAAGGCAGCTCCACAACTTTGGCAGCATTGAAAAGCATAGAGACGAGTGGCAAGTGTAGGAAGATACTTCCCTGTATTTGTTTCAGAGATTGACAGGAAAACACATGCAAAGCAAACTCTTTAGTCCTTACCAGGAACAATCTGCATGCCCTGTGCTGGCATGTGGGCTCCCTCTGAGGATTGCTTCACGTTTTTAGCGTGGGTCTTTCCCAAGTAGTGAGACAAAGCATCTACTGGGGAAGTAAACAACACGTTGCAGAGACTGCAGTACTTGTTCTTGTCCACTACTTCACTCCCATCCATCTGAAAGCAGACATGGGCAAGCTTAGTTAGAAGCATTCACTGAAGCATACAAGGAAAAGCTCTATTTAGCTATGAAGAAGAGCAGTCACCTGAAAATTGATGCCATCTGTTTTCTTCTGCCTCTTCTCTTTTTCGCCATGCATTTGGATGTAAATACGAACTTTCTGAGCATGTTTTTTGCCCTGGGAAGAGAAGAATTACTCCTGTTTCAGTAATACGGATCCATGCAATAATATATCCCAGTGACTGGGACTCTATTGATCAAAACCTACTTTCAACATTTACCAAATTGTATTTGTATAAAGCAGAGCCACAAGTGGACAAATGCCAGCTCATGGCACAATACTACACTTTAATCAATAACATAGTACTTAGCTTTACTCAGAGCATTTTGCCTCAAGCAGCCTCTGGAGTCGTTTATTTTCAACACTTTGGGGAATCAAAAATCCTGACATGTCCCCCTACAAACCTAAAATAGGCAAGGAAAGGAATGCAGCCATGCCACAAAGCAAGTCTGCTGTGCTGCTTTACCACTGAGCCTGGGGGCTTGGCATCAAGGCTGTTCCCTGTCCTGACACAGAAGAATGACAGGCAATAACTCACCTGAGAAGTCTAGTCTCCCTATACAGTCAGCGGAGAGAAACAGGTTTCCCTGTCTCCAGCTTGGAGTCAGCCTGTGGAGATTCCTGCACCTTTCCACTGAGGATACGACAGTCCAGGTAACTAACATTGGGTGTTAATGTATTCTTCTCTCAGAAGCAATTACTTTTTAATTCTTAGATGCTCTCTCAACCCATAACCTTCAAACTCTTGCACTTGTAACACACTTACCCTCATGCCAAGCTATACAGTGGGAACCTACAAAGCAAACGAATTGCCTTCTCTGATCTGATGCTTTTCAGGTGTCTTTTAAGGATTCTGAAGAGCAGTGCAGGATAGTATAACAATACCATCAAAGAGGAAGGGGTCCTATCGTATCTGGCTAGTTAATACAAGTGAGGAAAAGAAAAAGTCAATTATCTCCATTAGTTTGCTCTGTAATGGTGAAACAGGTAACTTTACAATTGCTTCCATTATCCTCAGCTGGATTTGGAGCCAAGAAACAGAACATCAAACTGAGGGTCTGAACCCTGTCAAGTCCTGACAGCACAGTTGCTGCTTAAATTGAAGTAAGTAAATACAACACCTTGCAAGACCTGAGTTTTAATCATGTGAATAGCAAGTGACAGCATCAGGAGCATGACCTTGATCCTCTATAGCACTGCTGTGTGCCATACCCATGTCCTGGCTCATGTGGTACAGATCTGTTTCAATCCCATGTATAGCATGGCCTGAACCTGCTCAGTTCCTTCTGAAGACATGCAAGTGATTGCCCTTCACTATGAACCCACAATCTGCACAACATTCAAGTCTGGTTTATGTCCAAGCCAAGCATCAGCCTTGAGAAACACACTATAAAAAGACTTCTGTAACACTATGTAGAAACCCCAAGCAAACCAAAGCCCCAGTGCTTGCTAGGAGAAATCCTGTCCTGCCTACCTTGTAGTGTGATGTCCTTTCAGACTCAAACTGCAGCACTGCCCTGCAAACCTTACAGAAAGTGTCAGTGAAAAGGTCTTTCCTTGTTGCCTCATCTAAAATGTCACCTATATGGAAACAGCAAAAGACAAAACTCAGGCAGTTGTTAGGACAAGATATACTTGCATGTCTCTGCTCACACAGAACATCAACCACTCCAACATTCACATGCAGCACAGGATGAAGGAACCAACGTTCACCCACTGAATCACACCGTGCTGCACTGTGGCTTCAAACAAATGCTGTAAAGCCACCTGAACCTTCCTACTTACCAAAGTATTGCTCTCAGGGATGTAGGAAGTAGTACTGTAAGAGTACCTGGGCTTTAAAAACAAAGACAGAGGCTCTGTGTTGGGTTTTCAGGCTACTTCAAATAGGCCACAATGTCAGAAATTCTTGACTAATGGTTTTAAAAGAACAATTTTAACTGGACTAGATCACACAAGTCAGTTAAATACGGGAATATTCCTTAAAGAGATTTATAGAAAGTCTGGCAGAAGCTCACTGCATAAGAAAGGCCAGAAGGTCTCAGGAGCTTAGAGAGGTTATAACAATTCAACTCATTTAGTTATATGGGAAAACCTGCTCCAATGGCTTGTTTAATTTTCTTTGTCCTTTTCCAAGTTAACTCATGGCCTCCACACACTTTAATTCATACTAACATTGGCTTAGACTTGAAGCTATCCCTGAATAATTGTATGAACTGGGGGGGACACTAATAAGCACTTAAAAGTAGTGCCAACATCATGTCAGTTAAAAGAATTAAACACACTCTTCAGAGGAGCACAGCTGTGCTAGCAAAACCCTCACAAAGATAAAGCTACATCCCCACTCCTGTTCTTTCTCAATGCACACCAAGCCATTAGGGAGACCAGTTGTATAGCAAAGGTGGCAGCAAAGGGAGACAAGTATATAGCTTGAAACACTTCTCTAGCACCGTATGCTTTCAGGGAGCAAGTCTACCCACGCTGCTACACCACCAAAGCTGCTGCTGTGCTGACAAACTAGTCAGTTTTTGTTTCTTTTTCATCCCTAGCAGGTCACACTAATTCCACCTAAGCTGGAATTTCACTTTGTGGCATGTTCTGCTCTTAAAAATAAGCCACAGTTTAAAGCAAAACCAAAGGAAGCCACGTAACTAGACAGCTCAACTAAACCATGCTCTTCACATGAAGCTGAGGTTGAAGAGAAAATATTAGGGAAAGTATTGTGATGTCTTAACTTTATGGGTTCAAACTTAAACAGGGGAAGTTTAGCTTACACCTAAGGAAGAAGTTCTTTACTGTGAGGGTGCTGAGGCACTGGAACAGGTTGCCCAGAGAAGTGGTGAATGCTCCATCCCTGGCAGTGTTCAAGGCCAGGCTGAACAGAGCCTTGGGTGACATGGTCTAGTGTGAGGTGTCCCTGCCCATGGCAGGGGGTTGGAACTGGGTGATCTTAAGGTACTCTCCAACCCAAACCATTCCATGATTCTATAACTGAGCTTCAACCTTCTAAGCCTACCCAATGGTCCATCCTGGAAGCCATGTGTGGAGCAGTTGGCTCTCCATGGTTTGCATACAGTCTAGAGCAGAAAGCACTGCCCCTTGTGGTCTCCAGGCTTGGTGCCAAAAGGGTATCTAGAAACCCATAAAGGCAATCAGCCTTTACCATTATTTCTGAAGACTGCTGTCTGGGCCCCTTGCCAAAGCAAAGTTCAAGGGAACATTAAAAACCAGAATCAAATACTATGTATTGTGTCCTGTAACTCTAAATAATGGTGCTAAGCTATGGGATGATCAGTTAACAAATGATTAAAGGACCAGAGTCTACCCAGTCCCCTGGGACAACACACAACTGCCACCTTTGCACAAGTAAAAAGCTGCTTAAAAATCAGAGCATGAATTTTGGTACAAGCTGCATATATACTTTAACTAAGCTGGTATCACCCCAGGAATGTAGCTCCAGTGGAAGCCCGAAACAAGGAATGCCAAACTGCATTGACAAGCCAACATTAACACCCACAACCAGCTGAAAATCTATCAGCAGCTCTGTGGGCACTGAGAAAACCCGAGGAATGGCAGACACAGAGATCTTTCTCAGCCTGGGTGCATGGCCAACCCCTCTCTGCCTTCCCGAAGTGAAACGTTTAACAGACACCTCTTAATAAAGTTGGCTCTGAGGAGGCTTCTGGCTGTGATTGCACTGAAGACTGGGTACCAAAATGCCACTGTCTGGCATGGTTTGCCACTGTCTGGCATGGTTTACCAATGAAAGAATTCACTTTCTAATAAAACCTTTATTTGCATGAGGTACAAAGACCAGGTGCCTTGTTCTTTAAAGCTTTTGTATTATGTCGTGTGACCCATCCAGAAATGTTCAACATTCTAGTTATCGATTCACATAACCTAGCCCCTTCAAGCATGAAGGATAGACACAACAACTCGAGTTGATTCGCACAGGAAAATCCAATGACTTCGTTCTGGGCATTAGATGAAAGCCCATCTTGCACCCAAAGCACATGAATTGCCAATGTCTGAAGCAGAAAAAGCCACTCACAGAGAGAAGTTACACCAGTTTGCTCAAGTGTAGTGAGCTGTAAAAACAGCTCCCTAGAGAAAGATAAATGGAACTGCAATGGAACCAGGCACAAGGCTATGAAATACTATTATCACTCCGTTTCAATTTGCCTAGCTTCTCACTGTCAAACGTATCTTTGTTTCAAAGACAGACTTCTTTGTATTACTTAAGGATGCTATCCTAAGCGTGTTTTCCTTGACTTAGCAGTGAACTCCACAGCCTTCTTGGGAACAAAAGCCAAGCAAATGCTTGCTACAAGCATCCCCTAAAACATGAAAAATTAAAGCCATTAGAATGTGAAATTAAACTTGCCTGACCACTGCAGAGAAAAGCTTGGATTACAGGGAGCAGAAGTCTGGTTGTCCAAGTAACTTTTGTTGTGCCTCTTGGAGCCATCCTGAACCCTGTTGTGTCCTTGTCCTCAATGGCATTTTGTACTACCTGATGAATTGCACTAAAATATATTCTAGAGACATTTCAAATATTGCTCTTCATTGTTACAGGAGCTGTTTTCATTCTTCGATGTTGTAAAAGGGCGACAGGACTTGACTTAAGATTCTTCTTTGGAAATTTATCACATCTTAGTCCTCTTTTCATAGTGGTTTTCTTCTATTTCTCATTAAGTCTTTCCTTTTTTCACCTCTTAGCCATGTCATCTCTCTGGTTTGGCGCAGTCTTTTCTCAAGGTAAGGTTATGCTACTCCACCTGGGTCAGCAGTAATGAATACAGTTACCATAATCTCAGTGAAGTTTCCCCCTACTTCAGTCTAACACTTGTAGTGATATTAAACCCAAGAACTGGTTTCCCCCGAAAAAGAAAAATATCTACAAAAACAAAGACACAGACCTCTGACAAACTGCATGGAGACAAATTCAGGAATAAACTGATGTGTCTCTCACTTAAATCCCAACCAGGCAGTGAGTTGTAAATGGCTTTCAGCTTGGTCCAGGTAACTGCAGGCTCCTTCCCAATGGCAACCACACACAACAACAGCCCTCTTTGCTAAATGACACATCCCTGCTCCCTTCCAGAGAAGGGTCATGAACCAGTCTGCCCTTTCTCCTTTTATCTGTGCCTCAAGACCATCTGCAACACACAGAAATGACAGAGCATGGGAAGATCTATGCTATCTCTGCCTCTGTGCAACTAGTTCTGTAAATATTAAGCTGAACTTGAGGTCTTCAGATTGACAAGACATCTTTCCTGGCAACTAAGAAAATTTTTGTAAAGGAAATCATTTCCCTTTCAGTTTGCAACCATGCTACCAGAAACTTTAAAGAGAATCAAGGAACAGCAGTGGCCTTGCAGAACTGCTACACTGACTTTTTTATGCCTCCAAAATGTTTAAATAGAGGTACCGGTATCATGAATTTGGAGCAACTGTTGTGATCAATTTTCTGTCATTAAATGGCTCACTGCAGAACAGACCAACTGCTGTTTGTCACAAAGGGACTGCTCCTGTCCTTGGGGACACACCCAAAGGATGTGGGTAAAAAATGTTTTAGAAATAGAAGACATGAGATTGGGTTTTACTTTTTTCATAAAAGATACAAACATTCATACTACGTGATCAGGTCAATCAGTAATTTTCAGTGTGGCTTTTCCTTTATTTTTAGGCTATTCCCAAAAAAAACAGTTTATGTTTGTCAATGGCCCACACTTTGGAGGAATAGCAGGTGTCTGGACTATCTGGACTGGAGACATTAATCCATCCCACAGCCAATGGCAGTATTTTCTCCTGTGATTCTTAGCAGTTCTAAGGTCTATCCTTTCCTCAGCTGTATTATGAACCCTGTGGTACCTGGTACTGCCATAGATATGCTGTGAGATCTCATGTCTGTGAAGTCCACTGAGATCCTAAGACATGACACACTATAGCAACAGCAAATACTAGCAGCACTTTATGTATCTAAAAGGATGCACAAAGTGAAGCAGCACAAAGGAGCTTCTGGCAATCAAAGGATGAATCTGAATGAATGTTGAAATTCTAAGAAGAGCTTTGCAAGTGACTTTTGCACAGCTAATTAACCTCGGATAATCACAAGTTCCCATTAAAGGAAGTTCAAAGATTCCTCAAGGATTTAAATTCATGCTCATGGGAAGTGTGGAGCAGTGTACCAATTCCCTCTGGCTTCTGGGCTCAGAAATCCCACCAGATTGGAACCTCTTTCCAGTAACAGCCTTGTTTTCAGAGTCACCTCACAGAAATGAGTGGTCTCGGGCAGCGTAGCTTCTGAAAGCACAGATGATCCACACTTTGCTGGTGCTTGTAGATGTTAGCACCAGGTAAGGCTGACACTAAAAGACATAGGGTAGATTAAAATGATTAGCTCTGGGGCTTCAGTAGTGTTGAGGGTGCCACATTTACATGTAGATAGGTGACCACCCAGGGCTGAAAACAAGAGTGCAGTGCTGGATTTACAAGTGTTCAGAAGCACCAAGCGTGATTAAACCCCACTTCTAGTGGGTATAGTACAAGCATTAAAAGAGGAGAAAAGAAGCTTCTGC